TTAAAAAGCAGTTATCGTAAGTTTACCTCAAGTCAGAACAGTCACGATGTTTTAGGTCTGTTGGTAATAAAGCACGTGATTTCTCCAAGTCGCATACGTCACAGGTATATACTCAGCTCTCGCGGACTATACCTGATATTCACCCCCAAAATTCACCCTGTTGTAAGGGTTGTAAGAGTTCACTGCGCCAGACATTGGTTCCTCTCCTTGCATTTCCTTTGCTGTCAAACGCAAGAGCCAGGAAGAATACAGACATCTCTTATAATGAGCTGGGGAGTGTTAAATAGAACAATAGAGTAAGACGCGTTGAAAAATAAGATGGATTATTTGTACATTACGTATAAGACGTGTTGTTTCGACTAAATAGGCATACGTAAGATGCTCAGTAATGGAGCTGCTTATATTAACGGGAAGTGTTACACAATGTAATTGCATATTCGGTTGTTTTACGACGTTTTGTGCTGTTTTTCTTATTTCAAGGGCTAGACAGTTTGGTCTTTTCTTGCTGAGTCTAATATAACGAATCTTGCAGACACGATATAACATTTGGGACGTGTAGGATTTGAGGTTTCCACGGCGGTGGGTACGAAGATTTCTCTCTTCTGGGTTGTTGCGCCGTGTAGTCTGGTAGATGTCTACCAACATTTCAGATGCTTGCTGCCTATAAAACTGGAGGGGACAGATTTCAGTGTTTGGATCGGGATTAAACCTGGATTCGGGCGCGAACACTGTTTTCTTTTATCACTGTTCTATAGACGGATAGAGTCTGAAGAAAAGAAAGGCAGTGATAGGAATTCAAACACTAACTGTCGCTTGTGATACGTCGTTCTCTATGGCACTTAAGATTACAGTTTTCGTTCCCACGAGATTATAACAGTCAGAGCTGTCTTGCTGTTATCTGAGTGGCCAAAGTACCATATCCCATGTGTGTGCATCATGATTGACCCTAAGCGATTTATTGAAGCAAAATTGTTGTATTAATAACCCTTATATTTGGTTATTATCTGTTCCAACACGTGATTAAGGTTGAAACTCTGCTTTAGGAACGGCTTATACATTTAGCTTTCCGTTTGCTCTCGCACTAGACCCAGAATACAGTGTTTGACTTATCAGGTAATTACCCAGACACCATCTGGCGGTGGCAGGGCAAGGCATGTCCCTTCAACCCCGCCCCGTCCCGCCCTCCCATTCCAACGACCACGTCAAAACTACCTCAACTTGCACAGACTTCCGAAACGAATTTTCCAAACAGAATTCTAAAAACTTCAAATTATTGATAACTCGTAATTGCTAGAACAGGACTAATGTATGTGTTGCATTAAAACTTGGTCGAAAAGTAGTGTCCCTGGTAAAGTCGTATAGAAAGGGTCGTGTTTGAATTAAGCCCTTAAAGCTGAAGCCAGTCTAAGTAGAATTTGAAAATGTATGTTCTACCTCGACGAAAACATATTGCACCCTTCGCAAAGATCAATAGAGATTAATACGTGTGTGGGGAGGTAGTTACTTATTCTAAGAATCATAAGAAACCCATAACACATTTTGTGAATACAGTGCAGAATTACTGGATTTTAAATCAGGTGATTTAATAGGCACGGCGCTTTGAAGAGTTAAAAGAAATTTGTATAACGTGAACAACAGCTGATGTTGAAACTTATATATCATTTCTTTTACTTTATGTATCGTTAAATTAACCAACTGGTGCACAAAAGTGATCTACTTCATTAGCTGACATTTAATTGCCTGGTAAAAATTAGGATCTGAATATCAAACCGTTATTAGATTGCTAGGAGTCAGTCGTGGTAAAAAATATATTGGATAAAATTCAATCTATCTTGTTCAAATCGTATCAGTATCGCAGTTTTGCCCCTTCTTAAAACAGAATGTACGCTTCGCCTACCTCATGTGGCGGAAAACTGGCGTCACCTCAGGGTAGGGTCATGATTGTAGATTTGTTTTCTCACCAGATTCTCTCTACGTCTGTTTGGCTTCGGTGGTCTACTGTTAAAGAGAAATAATAAACAACAGAAATGTAACTGTTTTATTTGGGAATATTTTTTAGCTAAATTCCCCCGGGGTTAGGAAGATACAGCGGGAAATACAGAGCAATGTGTGTATGAAGAACAATACTGTGCAACAAAATACACATGTCGATAGTTTACCATCGAAACATCTCCTTCAGTTAGAATTTTTCGAAGTATCGGTAGTTTCAGATATCACCACTGGGTACGATCTTGAGCCGGTTCAGTCCAGAGCCTGTGTTTTACTTAAATTTTAAAACTACACGGCCACCCCGCTGCAACCTACTTATTTCGATTTATGTAGCAATTATAGGTGGCGTATATGTCACAGGAGTTCGTTGCCGCGTAATATGCAGAGTCTCCCACTTTCTACCATCACAAATGAGCAAATTTTTTCACATCTTCCTTTTTAATGACCAAATTATTCACCAATATGTTTTTGTTTTACATTATTATTGTTTGTACATCCCCAAGATTATACATGAGTAAATATAGAGCAGCGTAGAAATACTACTCGCTGGAGTAAAACCGAAGGACTCAGGGATGTAAACCTGTCAACTACAAATCCCACACGGACTGACCTGGGCTCGAACCCGGGCGATTAGCCGCCGGAGCTATGGCACGGCCCACCACTATCCCTACTAGCTTCTAGTAGAGCTTCTTTGTTCCTTATGGCATTTATGTTTTCACACAAAAATTTAACCTCATCAGCTTGTACCGGAAGCTGATGTGTTCTATTTGGTTCCAGTCCCTCTTCGTTGCCTTCAAAAGAGCATCAGTACAATAATATTAGCCAGAATTACCCAGGACCCTTTGAAGCCTAGTGTACTTACTGGCTTGGATTCCATAGCTGGTGTATGACAAAGTTATGACTACTTGAATGTATGTCTCTCTGTTACACGATAAAAATATTTATACCGCGTCTGACCACGGAATGCCGGTTTCGTCAGACAGCGTTCGCGAATGTTCACATCGTACGTGGGCTCCATATAGAAGCAGAGAGGGTAGTAATGTATACCTATATAGCTTACGTCGCAGTCAACAAGGCAGTTTCCAAAGTTCGCCACCGGCAATCCCTGGTCAGACGCGATATACCACTACTACCGCGTTCACAACGGCTACTACAACTGCTGCCCGAACAAAACACAATCGAAATCGATCATATTTGTGTGTGTGTGTGATAGGGGTTTTGGTCTGGGGGCGAAAAGGGGGAAGGGGGTCAGGGTAACACGCCAGGAGCGTTGCGTGATGGTGACACCGACCTCTATTATAGGGTTCGGGGAGGGTGGGAGATTGAATATAGAGTGACGGTTTACAAACCGCGAACCGCGACATACTTTGGCTCGTTCATCTGACTACTTTTTGTTTGATTTTTTTTTTGAGATTTTTTCTTTTCTCTTTCATGTATAATCTGACACGAAAATTATAGGATTATTTTGTAAAAGGTTTGTGACAGTTGACGATCTCGTCACACCATAATGAACTACATCCAGGAATATCATGATATAGCGGAATATATTTTGTAAAGAAATTCTGTGCTAAGATGTTTGCTACTTTTGCAGTGTTAAATGGTCTGACTCTTGAAAGATGTACATCCTAATCGGAATTTGAATCGCTGTCCTAAATAGCGTAATGAGGATGAATCATCGCCCTGATGACGGAGGCAGTATGACCTCTGAGGTAGACGATAGTAAATGGTAAGTGTTCAGAGACAAATAATGGCAGTGGAAGTGGTATATACATATCTGGAGGCGAATTGATGGAGGATATGATGATAATGACGGTAGAGGGAGGTGGGAGGTGGGAGGTGGAAAAGAGGGCATTGCGAGGGCTATTGAGAGGTCTGGTGGGAAAGAAAGTCTGTCAGCCGCTAGTGACAAGTAGTTCTGCGAGCTGATCCGATGTAATTCCCGATAATTCACGTCAACAGCCGACCGCCGCTGGGGTCAATCGGTTGGTTGGAGGTGTTTTAATTCGTCCTCCCCAAACCGTCACCCACCCTTGTGAACGCTGACGAATTTCACAGAACATCAAATGTGTATTGCATTAAACGGTTATGGTCGATTCTCTAACCCACAAAATCAGCACAAATCCTATTAGTGCTTAAACCAAGATTAAACTTTCGATGTGGTGCTTAGCACTTTTTACGTTGGACGTTATAACAACACATTAACTCATCGATTTTCAAGTGCCGCCACACGTCTCCTTTATAAAAAAAATGAGCAGTAATTCGTTTTCAGTTTGATCCTGATTTTGGGATTGCATTCCTTCTGTGTGCGGTGAATTTACATCTAAATACTTTATTTTTGTGAGTTGGTGTGTTTTCTGGTTCTTGTGATGGCGCTAATGAACATTCGGGTTTCACGAAAGACAAGGATTCTGACTAACAAGGAGAGTATTGCTCTATGATGTTAATTAGTTTGATTAATCCTGTTTTTAGAAAGATGGCATCTGACTTCGTTTGTCACAATTTTATTCGAGAAAAATGATGTCACGGCGCAATCTTCGAAAACACCCCCCGATTTAAATAAAACTCGATATGGCCATTTTGATGTTGATTTAGTTTCCTGCGTTCTAGGAGCCACCTATTGAAGGGCTTCAATGAAAGCTCACATGTATCTCTTTATACGAGTTTTGTTATATGCAACTTGTGTTCACTTCGTCCATTCTAAAGGTCAGTTAGTAAATTAATCTTCTGAAGCACAAAACTTATCTGAATAAATAAAATTTTAATTCTTAACCACAAAAAGAATGCCCCTTTCAAAGCACATTTGGTTAAAGCTGCTGAGAGAAATAGTTAATTCCTGAGATTTTAAATTATCGACGTTTCGGAGGTGTCTTCTGCCTCACGTCATCAGGACGATCGTCCTGAAACATCGGTAAATTTGAATATTTCTGTAAACATTTGGTTAACATCGACCAGACTACGCGGCGCAACAACCCAGAAGACAGAAATCTTCGAGTTTAACTCTTTGTTTGCAGGAGCCACGAAGGAGCGGGTGAAGACGCCAGACAGTCCAGAGGGCGCTCACCTAATTCTGTCGTCTGCGGGCGGTAACTCCAACTCGACTAGTCCCACCACTGCCGCCATTTCAAGCAGCACCACGACGCTGAGATACGCCACTCAGAGTGGCCTGACTACGGCGCTACAGAATGGCGCCAATGGTCAATCAGTCAGCACCGGAAATGTGTCACCTGTGTTGAACGGAAGTGGCGCCAGTGGAGGTGAGTCTCACACACTATGCTAATTTCACTCCGGAAACGCTAGTTGGGGGTTTGTGTTTTGTATTTTGTAGCGAACTGTCTGGATCAGTGAGGAAATCGTCCAACTTGAAACATGAAGGTGTGTCACAAAATTCAGAGGGTACGAGACAGAAGGTAAATAAATCGCAAAGTAGGGTTTTGTGTTGCTAAGAATCTCAGTCTGTGCATCGTAGAAGAAAGAGTAAACTACTTATTGAGGAATGGAGAATATTACCCACAACAGACGTATATCTTCAAACACATTCGTAGTTCGTGCCGTAGCATGAATCGGACAGGAAATGGCTTGCGAGAAGAAAGAGAGACGGAAGCATCATGATCAATGTGTACATGGAAATTTAACATTAAACTTGGTGGAATTTTACATTCTCATGGCGGCAGGTTTGTAGATGAATGTCTCCTGGGATATTATGCCCTGTACTCTGGTAGACGTTCACCGAAGTTCCAGAGGTACTTACTGCCTCCATCATCAGGGCCGTCGCCGTCGCATCATCCCAGAAAACGTGTCATCTTCATAATTTGCGCCAGATTAATCTGAATTTTCAAAGAGTAATACAGGTTTTATCGACTGCTTCGATGTATCTAGTGTGTGGACTTCGTGAAGAATGGTAGTTTAGAATGCAGAGCATTGTATATGAGGCGAAACATAGGCGACATTAGTCTGCCATATCCTTTGATCTGTAAAGCAACGATATTCCTGCCGATAGGGCACGCGAGGCGCTGCAGTGTGCATCTGTTCCCAAGAGAAGTCGCCAGTTGTCCACAACATTATTTATCACATGTTTCCTTTTATGACATCTATAACCAGCATTTTTAAACCCTCTCTTTATGTTGCGCTTTTTGGGAAGAAAATCAAGATTATAACTTTCAGTTTTTATCATAAATAAATTTTTTAAAGTGGTTCTAGTTCACTTCGACTGCGGATTCATGTTTACATTATTAATACACAATTCTATGTTGTTGCGCCATGTAGTCTGCTAGAAGTTTACCGAAGTTTCAGTGATTCTTGCTGCATTCGCCGTCATCAATGCTCCATTGCCCTACAAAAATAATTTAGGGACATTTACCATCAGACAGTAATATATCACTTGGCAGCATCTATTTAACATTGTACTCATATAATAAATGTTACATGTGTAGGCTTTATGTTCTTTCCGTGGAATAGGACAACTTTCTTTGGTTTTGCAGTCATTTGAAGACGTGAAGTCAAATCAACGGCTCATTGAGTCTGGATATCTGTGTGGGGAGGATGCGAAATAATTGAGTGGATTCTGTTTAGAAGTTATCACTTGGTGTGGAGAACGGTGCAAAGGTTTTTACCTACGTCGTACTCTGAAATGTGAACGTCATTTAGGTTAATTACTTCAACGTTTATATTTCCTCTTGAATAATTTAAGATTACTGTTATTATTATCATTGTTGTTGATACCACAGCGCTAACAATCTGCTCATTCATAATTTTAGACAACTCAGTAAACCCGACAATGGAAACACTGAAGGCATTGGAGCTTAGTAAGAATGTATATCAATACACATCCATTCTTGGTTCAGAGACTTTTTTGTTTGTTTAATTCTAATATAAACGGTATATTGCAGTGTAAATTATAATGTAAACTCTTTTGTTTTAATGACAAAATTGCTGCTATAATTATATTTGTAACTCTAGAAATGTATCGGTAGAATGATGACATAAATAATAGTAATAATAATGTGCTAATAATGATGATAATTTATGATGATGTCAGCTATAACATTAACAATGACGAACTGGAGCTTATCTTCGGCAGTCAAGCAATTTTAAGATGTCGCTTCTCTCTGTTTGACTTTTCGCTAAGAAAGATGGCACCATTCTTTCCAGCAACCGATCATTCTGTTCGTGACAGTTCTCGGCGTTGGACGTTTAATCAGGCGTGTTCTTGTGTCACCTATGTCACGACCTGTCACTACCATTCATGAACATCGTCCGTCTATTCTGAGAACAATGCGATCTAGGTTCAAAACCCGGAAACTTATTACTGGAATATTAATACTGACGTGGCGGAAGGCATGTCCAGTCCACTGCAGTTTCAACATAACCACAGTTCGACAACAACTAATACAAAATCAGTTTGAAATATACTAAAGCCCTTCGAAACCGAAATTTATCTAAATAATAATTAAGAATTTAGTCCTTACCTCAAAGAAAACACATTGCGTATCCATTACAAAGAGCAGCTCTTTAATGATGTTTAATACGTACGTACGTACAATACTTTTCACTTTGAGAATCTTACAGAACCCATAAGTACACTCTGTAGGCAAAATTTAAAGTTACTTATTGTTAAAACAGGCGGTACATATGTGTACAAGTAGTGTTTTAAGCATTTCTGTGAATCAGGTAGTTTAGCTCAAACTGTATGACCACTGTCCCGGGGGGGGGGGGGGGGGGGTTTCCGACTGAGTGTCGTCCTTGACAATGGCAGTGTTGATTGAGATTATCGCAGTTTACCTCAGTCCTTTTAAGCGAATGACCACGCATTCCACATTTGCTTCATCTACATTTATTTTCAGTACATTATACGTAATGTTCATCTCATACATGTCTCCTCTTTTAATGCTAAACATCTTCTGCTGTTGAAAGAAGTGTTGTTAATTAACACAGGCTTCTACTTCCGTTTATGAGGGCGTTTTCCTGTGATTTTAGCCATCTTGTGTTCAGTGTTTGTGACTGTGTTTTTAAATAAAGAGTTAAAAAAATAAGCACAAAGTACGGTGCTATGTTTGCCAAAGCCTTGTTAGCGTTTCTAGTACGTAGCATTATTTAAAACTTGTATGTGAACTACTGTGTGTCTGAGCAGAAAATTAACTCGACGTTCAAACGGAAATACCTGTCTCTGTGCAGGCGCACGGTCGTTCTAATACGCGGTGCAACATCATCAGCTAACTCTCGGAAAACTCGGGCAGATGGCTGTCTTCTGTGATGCTGCGCTGTGTAGTCTGTTAGACATTGACAAACGTTTCAGAGGTCCTTACTGTCTTCAAATCCAGGGCGATCACCCTGATTATTGAGGCAGGAAAACCTTCTTAAACGCCGTTCAATATATATCAGATCCCATGGAGTAACATCCTAGAAGATAGCCATCTGCAAACTCGCCCCCATGAGAATCTTACATCTGACCAACAACAATATAAATATAATTTACTTGGTTTCTTCTGATTTCAAGATAGACTTGTTAATCTCTTAAACTCTTGTGAATACGTTAATGTACCTTGAAATACGGAAAATTCTTTGACTAACTGAGTGTACTGTTAGCTTCTGTAGCAGGACTCTGCTCCAAGGAGTTGTTATCTGTTTGCGTGAAGGATTCATCCCAATGCCATGTACAGTAAGTGGCAGTGTTGACCTGCGACGTCTTATTTCAGGCAGCCTGAGCCCACCGCTGCCTCCATCTGCAGCCCTGTCACTGTCGCTGCTGGACTCCCATGTCCATGGCACGAGCAACAGCGGACGCACTCTGGGCAAGATGAAACGCTTCCTGAGCACCTTGGTCCAGTTCGGCAATGACATCGCTCCTGATACCGGCGACAGGGTCCGCGCTCTCGTCTTCAGCCTAGTCGTACGTTCCCTGTCCTTTCTGTGGCGTGTCTGACGAATGAGCGGAAAGTAACAGTAGTGAGAGAACGCAATCAAGTTTCATCAAATCGGCGAATTTTAAGATTCTCACGGCTGTCTTGTGGGATGTAGTGACGTTTAGTCTGGTAGAGCAGTCGCCAAACAAGCTTGCCAGTGAAAGGTACGCAGAACTTCGTCAAAACTCGTGAAAGACCGACATCCGCTGCCTCCTCTCCACTACTATCACCGGATGTGGTAACCAAATTATATTTCTGCGCATTCCAGATCACCGGCAAGTTTGTTTGGCTTTTGTTCTAAACAGTGACCGAAGTGCCAGAGGATCTAACAGCCGCCACCATCAGGTCGATGGAACTTCGCCCTGATGATGGAGGGAGAAAACGTTTTCACAAAGTTGGCTTTTGTCTTCTGGTTTGTGACGCCGTGTGATCTTATAAGTGGCTAAAAACGTCAGAAGGAACACATCACCTTCTCAAGTATGAATTTCAAACTCAGACGATCACAGTCGACATCTCCGTTACGAGGTGCAGAAACCTCAACTTTCACAATCTACATTTCTTATTGTGCAAAGTCGTGGATGTGAATGTCGACTGGACTCATTTGGCTCAGGGTATTATCCAGTGGCAGACTCTTGTGAACGCTGCAGTAAACATTTATTAAGCGTCGAGTTGATTAGGGCGGTGAATTCTTAGCTGAGTGACTATAGTCCGCGAGCCATGAGAGTAGACCTGACATCTTTGAGGGAGTTGGGGGTAGAATTCTGTGCTACTAGCGGACCGAAAAACACCCGCAGCTTATACAGGCCGTACGTTGTGAGCTAATGTACTGACTGATAGCACAATATTCTTAGGTAAGTAATACATCCCCAGCGCATGCGCAGAACCCATTTTCCCTCTGCCTCATAAGCAACGGCTGACAAGGCCACGTCTACTCTCGTGCCTCGCGGACAGCACGGTCTTCTGAATGCCTGTGTTTTGAATTCCGTCTTCCCTGTGTTGCAGAGTAACAGCATAACGATTGAAGAGTTCCATCACTCGCTGCAAGACGTTACGAACTTTCCGCTTCGCCCATTCGTGGTCCCGTTTCTCAGGGCTCATCTGCCTCTCCTCCAGCGCGAACTCAACAACCTCGCACGGCTAGCCAAGCAGGTTAGTCCCATTCTGACAAAGTAAATCGGAGCAGTCGAGACTTGAACGCACGTGCTCAGTACAGAATCAAGAGTTCCTCAAGAATCCCGCCCAACGTCAGACACCGGACTGAAAATCAAGTTTTGGTGGTTTTAGCGGCTTAAACCAGACATACAAACAAGAATTCTGTTGAAGTTGACTGTCTTCTGGGTTGTAGCGCCGTGTAGTCTGGTATAAGTTTACCGACGTTTCAGAGGTCTTTGTTGTCTCCATCATCCCTCTGATGGAGGCAGTAAGGACCTCGGAAACGTCGGTAAACGTCTACAAGACTTCACAGCCCAACAACTCAGAAGACATCCATCTTCTAAGTGACTCTTTAACAGTTTGGTGTTGCAAAAGTGGCGGTTGTTATGTCCACTTCTGTACCGATCTGGAACTTACGTCGCCTGCGAATGTTACTAATTTCTTTAATTCCACGTCCAAAACATCGGTTACTGCGTCTGCTGATATTTCCTTATGCCAGAAACAAAAACTGTTAAAAGGAAAGGAAATGGTGGAAAGAAACTTTTGCAATAACTCGATTTGCAGCTAGGTTTTTCGTCATAATTTTTAGTATTACTTCTTCTCACCCTTTTCCTTTTCGAATGAAGAGGG